CTGGGCTTCTGGGCCTCTTGATTTGGGGGGTTGGAGCCCTTCTCCTGGGCTCCCTTGACTTCCGCTTCTTTGGGGGCCTCCCTCTTCTGCACCGAGGTCTGCGGAGAAAGGAGGGGCGGTCAGGAAGGGGAGGGCCCCTTATCCCATCTATTGCAGAGCCCCTGAAATTAAAATATAGGGCTTTTCCTATTTAAGATAATCAAAAGTTGGAAGGGACCTTGTAGGTCATCTAGTCCAACCCCCTGCCCAAGCGGGAGACCCTACACCACTTCTGACAGATGGCAGTCCAATCCAGTTTACTCGCTTTTAAGGCAAAGCCAAGTCACCTGCTGGCCACCAGCAGCACCTGGGCTTTGGAAGCAAAGGTGTGGCCCATTTTCACACACCCCCGTGAGTTTTATTCTCCTCCCCCCCCAAAAATTGCCAGAACCCCAAAGTGTCCCCCTCAACCAGTTACCTCTTTAACTGGGAGATGCTTCAGCTTTTTCGGAACTGGGAGCTCCTGGACACTCAACTGAAACAGAAAGGAGAAGAGGCCATTCAAGTGGACTAAGTTATGAGCTCCCCATTTTGGGGTCCTTGGTGCTCCGTGAGCTCAGTGGCTTTCTTGCAGACGTTTCACGACCCAACTAGGTAGCATCGTCAGTGCTAGGAGGGAGTGGGGTTTGTTCTGTTTATATACGGTCGTGTGCCCTGCGGTTCTGACCCGAACCTTGTCCCAAGGAAACAAACACAAAATGGAGGTAACAGCAAAACCTTTTAATGATTCTTTACGAATTCCGTTCCTTCCCGGTTAAAAGGCTGTTTCAAACCAACTGTCTCTGATAAGAATGAGCCTTGCAAAAGTTGTGCAAGGCTGCCAAGAACACTAGAGAAAGTTACTAAGAAATATTTCAAACACAGAGTCTCCAAACACCAACCAAGATAGTCTGAACGTCCACAAGGCTTGAGTGCAAAAGCTTCTTTGCTTCCTGCAAAGAACTCCGGTTTCTCAGCTGGCTTTTATCTCTTAAGGGAGAGGCCATCACCTTGCAGCCTTACTCCCGAGTCGCCTGTGCTGCTGCAGCTGCTTTTTCCTTTGAACAGCCCTGTGGGCACATGTGCTCTGGGCACAGGCTCCTCGGGGTGCTCTTCATCACTGCTGCCAGCCTCCACAATCTCCACTCCCTGATGGTCCTGGCCCCATCCCTGCATCACACGCAGGCCCCTCATCTGAGTCCTCGCTCTCCGAGGCCTCAGCCATCCCACACCTCATGCCGGCGAACCACCACACCTGCCTGTGTTACTGGGTGTGGTTTTCCCCCTTGTTAGGGTCTTGATTAGCGCCTTTTCCGCTGGATTGTTTGTCTGGTGTTAATCCCTGCTTATCTAGATGCTGGTTGCTGGAGAGCAGGGGTCCCCAAACTTGGCAACTTTAAGACCGGTCGACTTCAACTCCCAGAATTCCTCAGCCAGCTATGAGGCTGTGGTTCTTGGTTTGGGAAGAGAGGTCCTCTTCAGAGGTTGGAGAGAGGCCGAGGCTGCCTAGCGTTGGAAGTTGGTATCTGGCACTTCATGGCCTCCACAATGTCTATAGAAGGACCATCAAGATGGTCTACAAATGGAGGAAGATGGAGTAGACCAGGGGTCTCCAACCTTGGCCACTTTAAGACTTGTGGACTTCAAGTCCCAGAATTCAACTTTAAGCCTTGTGGACTTCAACTCTCAGAATTC